CCTAAGAGGACATACATTACCAAGGAGGAAAAATCCTTGCCTGGACACAAGCCTATGAAAGATAGGTTTACGCTTGTGCTGTGTTCAAATGCGAGTGGCGATTTAAAAATTAAACCCTTGCTAGTGTATCATTCTGAAAATCCAAGGGTTTTCAAACAGTATAATGTGCAGAAAACCCGTTTGTCTGTGATGTGGAAGTCTAATAAAAAAGCATGGGTGACTAGGCTTATTTTTTCGGAGTGGGTGAATGAAGTGCTGTGCCCTGCCATAGAAAAATATCTGCAGGAGAAACAATTGCCACTCAGAGCCGTGCTTCTCCTTGACAATGCTCCTGCTCATCCTCCAGGCTTGGAAGATGATTTGATGCCTCAATACAATAAATTCCTCACAGTTAAATTCCTTCCTCCTAACACCACTCCTCTAATTCAGCCTATGGACCAGAAAATCATAGCGAATTTTAAGAAACTGTATGAAAGGGCACTTTTCCGGAAATGTTTTGAAGTGACTGAAGCCACAAACCTCACCCTCAAAGAGTTCTGGAGAGAGCATTTTAACATTTTTAGTGCTTTAAAACTCGTTGACAAAGCCTGGCAAGAAGTGACTCAAAGAACCCTGATCTCTGGCTGGAGAAAATTGTGGCCTGAAGGTGTGAGAGAACTAGACTTTGAGGGGTTTGAGCCTATAAATGATGCGCCTATTGTTGAGGAAATTGTTAGTCTAGGCCAGAAAATGGGCTTGGAATTGGATGGTGATGATGTGGAGGAGTTGGTGGAAGAACACAACGAAGAACTGACCACCGAAGAACTCCTAGCCCTTCAACAGGAACAGCAAGCCAACACAGCAGCGAATGATTCTGCAGTGGAGGAGGAGGTGGTGGCAACAGCACCAGCGAATGTCCCTTCTGCAGTAATTAAGAAGGTGTGTCAGATGTGGGAAGAGATTCAAACAACTATTGAACAGACTCACCCAGACAAAGCTGTAGTAGGCCGTTGTCTTAATCTTTTCAATGACAATGTGATGCCTTACTACAGAGAGAGCTTGCGAAGAAGGGAAAAGCAAGCTTCCATGGACAAATATTTGGTGAAGAAATCGAGCAGTGAGCCTCAACCAGGACCTAGTGGCACTCAGGTTAAACGTCCCAGGGAGAGCACACCAGAAAGGTCCTCACTGCCTGATGTGATTATGGAAGGGGACTCCCCTTCCAAACAGTAACTCCTCTCCTCCTCCCCCCTCCTCACCATCTTCCATACGCCTACAGCACTCGACAGTAAGGTAAGTAATAACTGGAACATAGTTTTGTAGGTTTATTTAGATGAATTAGGTAAATTAGGTATAAAAATTTAGTTTGATGTGGGGTTTTTGGGGTAGTCAGGAACGGATTAATTCATTTCCCTTTATTTCTTATGGGGAAATTAACTTCGGAATGCGAGTTTTCGGAAGGCGAGGCGTCTCCAGGAACGGATTAAACTCGCATTCTGAGGTATGCCTGTAGTTCCCTAGACAGGACATGGATAAGCCTAACAAGCTTCCTGGTCCTGATATTGAGAAATTATAAGATGAACCGTTTATCTAGAGCAGAGTGGCTAGCTTGGCTTGTGCAGGAAATGATAATTTTTCAGGGTTTTAAGTTGATGATAATGGTGTGGGTGGTTCTACTGAAACAGGATTGTGTGCCACGGCTGGTGCGCCACCCCTGGCTGCCAGTCGCAGCAACACAAAACATCACACTCAGAAACCCAGGTTTCACAATCTGTATAGCAAAACACTTGCCAAAAATATAAACAACGAAACTGCTGAACTGAGAGGAGGTAAGAGCAGGGGTACTAAAAGCACCATAAAAGAACATGCAATAAAACCAGCGTTTATATATTGGTTTTATTTTAAAACCAGCGAATCACTCGAAGCGACCAGCCCCAAAGAGTGAAGGACCAAAGAGGGCCGTGATGTGAGCCCAATGGAAGGACAGACCTTACCACCCCTGACCAGCCTGGTGAGCACTGGTCACAAAGCCCCAGCTGAGAGATGAGGCATCCATGAACACATCGACTGAGGGCTCGGGAAGGCACCAAAGCACCGAACCCCAAAAAACCCGAAGAGGAAGTCGGAGATGCAGCAGCCGATGCAAGGCCTCCATGGGGGGGGGGCAAACCCAGCGGTCACGAGGGAGATAGAAGGGATAGCCCTGAAGGAACCAGAACAGGCAGTGAAGAAGCCATACCCGATCCGGTGAGTAAACCAGCGCGGCGAAGTTCAAACTCCTGTACAACTGCTCGAGCCACTGACGAGTGACCTGGGACCCAACCAGAAACAGCGGAATGTGGAACTGCAGCCACAGCAATGCCGCAGCAACGCCGCAGGAGGGAGAGACATGGAAGCGGTCCGAAAGTCCCACACAAGGCCCAGCCAGTCCGATCTTGGGAGAGAACCAGATGGGCTTCCTCCAGTTCCCCAGGAAATGTAATATAACACTTATATTACAAAACATCCAAGCAAAAAATGGATGCATCCAACACGAGGGTGCATATTACCAGCAAATATGGTAATACTAAGTCAGAAAGGGAAGGAGGGGAAGAAAACTCCCTCCCCTGCACCAACAACACCTCCCCAGAGGGCACAAGGGCCCAAGCAGGATCAAAAGGAGCCCAACAGCTCCAAGTGGACTCCTTCCAAGCCCTGGGAATCCCCGACAAAGGCTTCGGGGCAGAGCCCTGATCCACGCACACCACCTCTGAAGAAAAGGTGGAGTCCATGGGAAAAGCTTTCAAGAAGGGAGTCTGCTAGGTTGACTCAGAAGTTCTGGCGGGAAAATCGGGCCAACCACCTCTGTGCCCGAATCTGAAGGGGCAGCCCCCCAAAGCTACCCAATCCTCATCCTGAACAAAAATACCACCTTGACTCCAAAACCCTCAGACACTTGGGAGCTGGAAGCAGAGAGGAAGGAGCAGGGAGAACCACACCCACCTGGGAAGGAAGTGGGGTGTGAATACAAACAATGTCAATGCGACCAACTTCCCTAAATCCTGGGCCCTAAACCCAAGCAGGACAGCTCTGGGGCCTCCAACCGGGCAACCAGCCTGGCCTGTTGCAATAAGGAGAATCGAGCATGTAACGCAGCCGCCACCTGATCCCTGAGATCAACAGACAAGGAATGGGTAAATTGAAGCACAAGTGGGGAACAAGTCCCACAAAATTCAGGGTCGTAAATGTCACCACTCCAACAAGCAGCATAACGGAGGCAGTACGGACGATTGACTCCTTGAGGCAGGGGGCAATGAACAACCTTCAGCTTTGCAAAAGACAAGAGAGAACTCCTCGGTAGATGCCTCCATGGTTCCCCCCCAAGCCCACCAGGATTTCAAGGGTCCGTAGGATGAGTAAGCCCTTTATAAAGCCCAGGCACTGGGGCCAGCTAAGCCGGTAGAACCCTATTTGTCAGTAGACAAACTGACCACCAGTAGCAGCCATGAAACCTCAGAGGCAACAAAGGAGGACCACCAATACAACCTAGGCTAGCCTAATAAGAAGCTAGGTAGACCTCCTCCATGAACAAAAAAACGAAAACGCTAGAAAAAAAAAACGAAGACACACAACAAATAAGTTGGCAGCCAGAGAGAATCGTCGGCCGCTGCATGTGCAAGATGTGCCAGTTGCAGTGCGCCCTGCCCAGCCAAGAACACCCCACCTGGGGCAAGATGGAAAGCCTGTGATCCCCGATGTACCCCAAAGGTGAAGACAACGCGAAGCGGTGAAGTCCTAAAACGGGAGTGATTTCCAAATGCCCCAGGGAAGATAACCCTGAAATGCAAGGGTAGTACACATGGAGCACCTTAGGAAGATAATCCTAGGTGCATGCTGCTCCTGTACACTAAGATACCTGGCCACCACACCACACACACTGCTGGCACAGCCACATACGGCAAAATACAGAACAGGAAGTTGAGGCCAGAAGTGACTGATCGGACCGCCAGCACATCAGTTCAAGTACTGAGGTGGTGGGCTGCTGGCTCCGGTGAGCCGACATCCCTTACCCCCTGTTCAAAGGGGGGGGGGGGATGGTTTGGTAGCGCTAATGAGCGGGAGTGCTAGTTGCATGAAGAGTTGCTTGTTTGATTTCTTTCTAGGGGAGTTTCTTTTTATCTTTCAGGAAGTAGATTGCAAAGAATAACCAGACAATGGTCTGTTTTGATTTGCCTACATATCTGGGTCCTTCAACAATCAATAGCAATTATGACATGCTTTAAATGTTAAGTGCTCATAGGACATTGCTCCTGCGCCTCTCTGAGGAGGCCAGGTTCTGGTGCGTGGTCCCCGGTAGGCATAAGGACTCTTGTGACTGACGACCCCAAACTAACATAGCACATACCAGTTCAGATAGCTTCAGGGAGCCTACAGAGGCTCCCTACAGAAATAACAACTATGAAAGGAAGGGGCGGAAAAGTCGCCAAGAACTACAGACTGATGCCTCGACGAACTCCGCAGGTGGGACACCTTGAAAGTGCCCGAGTGCCATTGGGGAGAATGGTACCCTCTGTGTCAGAAGGACCAGACATGAAGAGCGGAAGAGAAGGTCGACTAAGCGGGACACTGCTGGCCAACTTCAGAAAGAGGCAGAGCCGTGGAAAGATGGCTAGATTCAAGCACTCCCTCACAAATGATCAAAGTATAACAAGTGTGACGAGTTATATTAGAATTGATTGGAACTTATGTGTATGCCATAATTATTCCAATTACCATCCTGTTCCATTATGACTCATTTGCATTCCACAATTTATCAAAATAGCATCCTGTTTCATCACAATTTATTTGAATTTTTCAATAGTTCTAATTATCTTCTTGCTAAATCATGACTTATTTGTACTCCACAATTTCTCTAATTATCATCATCCTGTTCATTGATAACTCATTTATACTCTACATCTGCTACATCTCTCTTCTCTCTACATCTCTCCCCTAGTGCTAATTGAAAAATTGTCCTGGGTAAGAATACGTCAGCAACTAACCATGAATGGTGCTTGAGGTATCACATTTGGGTGTAAACCATAATATTCAATTAAGTGGAGGCATGTGTCAGCATTCTTGAGGTCCACACTGCCCTCAAAAGGAAGGTAACTCAAAGACTGCAAAAAAGAAATTCTGAATTAATTTATAAATTAGGCTTGTTATGTTTAGATATCTTCTAATTAATATATTTCACTTCTATAAATACAATTGTGTTAGATATTAATTAAGCTAATATATGTACATTCAACAAAATTATCAAAAAAGCAATGTAATTTATTAGCTGAAATTGAGAATTAACTTAAAAACCAACACTGGATGTAATGAAATGCCTCTTTCTGGTTGGGTCTTGTCAGATCCTTGTAGATAGCTGAGATAGCTTCACACATGAGTCATCAGCCTCACAAAGGACGGGTGTGAACATCTTAGGCAAGGATGCCGAAGCCCAAATCACGGGCAACATGGCCTCTGCACCAGGCCAAGCAAGTAAACATTTTCCCAGAACCAATGAGTAAAAACCCAGCATTGAATGTAATGAAATGCCAATTTCTGGAGGAGCCCCAGTGGTTCACTGAAACTATCTTCTCAAGACAACCCGTTCTCGCAAATTCGTAAAGTCAATATTGACTTATTAACTACGTGTATATTACTTAACCTATACCTATTATAGGTTAGGTAATAATTGTAATTGCGAAGCAATAAGATGCTTATCTTAACATACTAAGTAGGTTAGGTAAGGTCGGTGTTTTCTATGAATCTTTTTAAGGGTATCTATTATGTTAAGTATGTCACCTATGCACATATTTAATAAGTCAATATTGACTTATTAAATTTGCGAGAACGGGTTGGGGTCCCATATCGCACAGTTGAGGGGTGGCGGGCGGGGTGCGCGAAAGTGTTAAAAAGTGTCCACAATAAATGTTTATTGTCGCAATATTACCTGTTAAAGATTCACTAAAATTACAATATGTACAGTTTCACACACTATTTACACAGTAACACACTGTATTACACACTCATACTTCGGAAGTGAGTAATAATCAACTAGTAGCCCATGGTACACAGCGCGACTTCGCTCTCAGTGCACCAGGTACAGATAAATTTTCGCTTCCTGTTTCTTCATTCTGTGTGCTTGCAAATAATGCTCTCACATACACCCTTGGCTTAGTACTTGTAGGTTGTATGTAGTCAAGCTTGTAAATGTAAAGCATAAGGTAATATTGAAAAGATTATAGGAAAAGATAAATTTGTAAGGTAGTCTTGAAAAGATCACTTTGTATGGTCCCACACAGGAAGAGATTCAGCTTACCTCAAGAGAGTCCATCAGTCAGAAAGAGATTCAGGTATTCTTGAAAATATCTATAAAAAACACCAGCATGGAAGCGGCTAACACTGTTCATCTATGCTATTTGTATCAGATGAATCATCACTGAATGCAGAAAATGATTCATCTATGTATCATCTAAATAAATTGTAGATAGCATAGGATTGTAAGGGTGACGCTCAGAGCTACAACTGGATACGCTCGCTATATCGTCCTCATAGGTGCTGTATTACTTGCATCCGACCTTTGTGTTAGGTCCTTATTGCGCCTAGCTTCCCCAATATTATGACCCTTAAGTTCTTCAAACAATAAGGTTTGAATTTCACCAACAGAGCATTATCTTTCAACACCGCCTCAGACAGGTGTTTGGGAGCCAGAGGCGGTTGAGCCAGAGCAACCACCCATGGTTTGCTCATTCAGTACTAAACCAGCCAGCAGCCCTAGGGCATTCTGGGAATTTTTTCCAAGATGGCTGCCTCTCACTGGAGGTCCTAAGAGTCCATTTCGTACACAACCAACCTCGTACACATTTAGAATTGGTTACGAAAAATCAAAAAGAGTTTTCTCGGTTGGCACAGTTTCCCACCAACCGAGAATACTCGGTTGGTGCAGTTAAGTGGTTAAGTACGAAGCAATCTTGAGCAACCCGTTCTCGCAAATTTAATAAGTCAATATTGACTTATTAAATATGTGCATAGGTGACATACTTAACATAATAGATACCCTTAAAAAGATTCATAGAAAACACCGACCTTACCTAACCTACTTAGTATGTTAAGATAAGCATCTTATTGCTTCGCAATTACAATTATTACCTAACCTATAATAGGTATAGGTTAAGTAATAATTGTAATTACGAAGCAATTAGATGCTTATCTTAAGATACTAAGAAGGTTAGGTAAGGTTGGTGTTTTCTATGAATCTTTTAAGGGTATCTATTATGTTTAGTATATCACCTATACACGTAGTTAATAAGTCAATATTGACTTTACGAATTTGCGAGAACGGGTTGGGGACCCAGGGTGTCACGGGAGCGCACGTAAATTCTGAAAAGTGTATACTCTCTTCAACTTTGTCACCTTAATTCTCGTCCTACGAGATTAAATTTTGTATCATTGTGTTCGCAATAGAATTCTCTACAGCACTAAATGCATATAAACTCCAAAAGCCCGGCTAATTACCCGCAGCAAACAGAGAAAGTGCGAACGAGTTTCCCAGGAGCGCGCAAACGCAATAAAATGTTTTCACTATTTTCACTCTGGTCACCTCAATTTTCGTCCTTGGTCTTTCATTTTGGTTCGCAATAGAATTCTCTATAGGAACATTAGCATATAAAATAAAAAACATGGTCACGCTCCAACCGCCGACGAGTTGAAGACGGGCCACGCGTTAGCCGCAAGTGAGTGCTCAGAAGCCTTCCAGCTACACTCCCAATTCCCGCCCTTTTCAAGCCTTTCTTTCGCAATTTTCTTCCTGGAAGGGCCTTGTTCATGATCACTATCCATTGTGGAGTAAGTGTAGATAGTTTCTAAAGCCGCAGTAAGAAATATAGCCACGGAAAATAGCCGAAATGTTCACACGTTTGAGATGCGAGGGGAGGCAACATTGGTCACAACAGTGGAGCGAAAACAATGGGCCCACGGCGTGTGCCAAGCCGCCTGAGGACCACGAGGCTCAACAAAGAAAATGGGAAGACATCGGCGCGTATTTTAAAACCAGTCCCAAAAAAATCGGATAAAAACCTGATTTTTGGCGATTATTTAAAGTGGATGACACAATGCTGCGTCATCCCCAGTATTACCGCCAGTAAACGGATGACGCAATGCTGCGTCATGCCCGGCCGAAAGTGTTAACAGGTAATATTGCGACAATAAACATTTATTGTGAACACATTACTGACACATGTATCATAGTTCCATGGAACATTATGAACGTTCTACTGTGCACATATTGTAAAGGACACAAATATGCATCATATATGATAAAAAAACAAATAAAACTGCATTGGAAATACATACAACAAATAATTGAAAATATATTTGTGGCAACACCCGGTGCTTGAATGGCTCACGCGACCGTGTCTGGGCGATTCACCCACGGGCGACCAGGCCCTGATGACATCACAGTGCACCTTGTCCACATACCCACAGCCAAAGTAAGTGGAATTTGGTATTTATTTTTACATAGACATGTTCAGGGAAGGGAATTTATCATTTTACAAAGAAAAAAGAATTTTTGGGAACACTTTATTTCATGAGCACCGGGGGAATTTCACAATAAACTCTGCGCAGCACGGTGGTTAAAGGTAACATCAGTCCTGGATAGTTCTGTTTGGGCTACTAGGGACCAGTGCCAGAACCTGGCTCCTTCCCCTCCCCTCAAAGAGGCACAGAGAGCAGGTGACAATCTGCCACCTATAATCTATATAAATAAAAATGGAAATGTTCGTTTGTTCAGAATCGCTAATCCCCGAAAGTTCTTCACCGATTGCCTTGAAATTTTCATACAACGTTCCATTCGCATCCGAGCGGGTTTTTATATACATACTATATAGATGTCACGTCTGCGACGAGAAAAAATATATTTTTTTGAAAAGCTGTGTTTTTCGTGTGTTTTTCATGTGAGAGAAATCTTCGAAACCTCCTTACCGATTGCTCTGAAATTTTGATACAACATTGCATTCGAATATTCGAGTGTTTTTATATACCTACTATATGCATGCATCACCTGTGACAGGGAAAAACATGCATTTTTGAAAAAAAGTGCCATCTGTAGGACGTAAGAGCAACACACACTGTAAAACAAGCTACGAGGATGAGGGAAGGGGACGTTCCCTCCATGCTAGATTTGATATTTACCAGGAAGGAGGAAGAGATATTTGACATTCAGTACCTTCCTCCCTTGGGTAAAAGTGACCATGTCTTTTTGGGAATAAAGTATGCAATGCGTTATAAGCTGGAAGAAAATAAGGAGGTTGAAGCAGTTGAAAAACCAGACTTCAGGAGAGGACATTATGGTGACCTTAGAAATTTTTTTAGTGAGTATAATTGGACAGACTTGATGCTAGGCAAGGAAGTGAATGAGATGTATGGCAAGTTTTGTGAAATATATGATAAAGGCACAAAAAAATTTATACCAAAACAGAGATGCAGAACTAGGAAACAGGATTGGTTCAATAGAAATTGCGAGAGGGCTAGAGACCGAAAGACACAAAAATGGAATCAATACAGGAAGAGGCCGAACCCCCAAACATACCAGCGATACAAAGATGCGAGAAACAACTACACGGCAGTGAGGAGAGAGGCAGAAAGAAATTTTGAAAAAGGGATTGCGGACAAATGTAAAACAGAACCAGGTCTATTCTATAAATTCATAAACAACAAATTGCAGGTAAAGGATAATATTCAGAGGTTGAAAATGGGAAATAGATTCACGGAAGATGAAAAGGAAATGTGTGAAACACTAAACGAAAAGTTCCAAAGTGTGTTTGTACAAAATGAAATCTTTAGGGAACCAGATACAATAAGAATTCCAGAGAACAACATAGAACACATAGAGGTGTCTAGAGACGAAGTGGAAAAAATGCTCAAGGAGCTCGGTAAGAACAAAGCAGCTGGCCCAGATGGCGTTTCACCATGGGTTCTGAGAGAATGTGCATCTGAGCTCAGCATTCCACTTCACCTGATCTTTCAGGCATCCCTGTGTACAGGAATCGTAGCAGACGGGTGGAAACAGGCTAACATAGTTCCAATCTACAAAAGTGGCAGCAGGGAAGACCCCCTCAATTATAGACCT